CAGAGCCTGAAGATTTACATTTTATTCTCACAGCTAAAGGAAATTACACAGTATAAAAAAGTACTTTTCCATTGAGGGAAATAATAGTATTGAGATAAAGATTCAGGATAGCTGTGAGCTCTCAGTGTGCCAAGTAGAGGTTAAAAAGCCCAAACCCATCACAAATAACAAAACCTACATTTTTTGAAAGCCTGGAGGAATTTACTTCTGAAGGTGGTTGTCAAAATATATGGACCAGGAGAGAGAAGGATAGGGAATAAGTGTTTCTGTCTTTTGGAAAGGAAATTATATATATAAATAAGAGGGAGAAGAAGAAAAGAGAAAGAGAGAGAGAAAGGAAGAGGGAGGAAGGAAAAGATTAAGAGGGAGAAAGAAGGAGAGCAATGAAGGAAAGAGGGGGAGAGATGAAGGAAGTGAGATAAAGAGACAAAGGAACAGATTAAGAAAAAAGCATGAATGTTCTTCAAGAAATTGAATGACTAATTGTATTCAGTCAGCTCAAACCCACTGCCAAACTAGAACAGTTCCCAATGCTTTTGAATGCATTGATCACCCTGCAGTTTTTAATTCTGTTCTTCCAATTCTGCTTTTAACAGTATCATAGAATCATACAATCATGGAATCATAGAACAATAAAAACAGAGAGTGGTTTGGGTTGGGATAAACTTTAAAGGTCACCTAGTCCAACCCCCTTGCAATGAGCAGGGACATCTTCAACTAGATCAGGTTGCTAAGGTCCTGTCTGACTTGAATTTGAATGGTTCCAGGGATGGGGCATCTCCCACCTCTCTGGGCAACCTGTTCCAGTGTTTCACGAACCTGATTATGAAAAATTTCTTCCTTATTTCTAGTCGGACTCTATCCTCCTTTAGTTTAAAACCATTACTCATTGTCCTATTGCAATAGGCCCTACTTAAAATTGTGTCTCCAGTTTTCTTATAAGCCCGTAGACTTATGAACGTTCAGGGTCATGAATACTATCTTCTCTTACAGCGGGAGTGACTTTGCTCCCCCAGCCCCTGCCTTGAGGTCCATTCACTGGAGAGGTATGGGAAGAGAGGTTGCCATTGAAGACAGGCAAAACAACTGTTGAATGCCTCAGACTTCTCCTCATTTATTGTTTCCAGTTTGCCAATCATGTTCACTGTGGGGTTAAACACTTCATTTGACCTTGAAGCCAGGTAAACCTGGAAAACGAATTTAGAGCAATGTAAGGATTAGAGAGAGTTAAACACAAAATACAGGCATAGAGAACTTAGTATTAAGAAATAACGGAGGCAATAAATTCACTAGAATATAGGACACTCTGACATGAGGGAACACAAGCATGAACAGAAAGAACTAAAATGCTAGCACACACAAAAAAGGACATATGGAAGAAAAACAAAGGGAAATAAGAAAAGGGACAAGCCAAGAAATCAGGTACTCTTGCCAGATACTGAAAATCCCTGCCAAATGCACAAGGAAACTACCCAAATTAGGGAAGGTTCAAAAGTTTATGAAGATGATGATGAAAGGACATTGAGTTCATGATGAAGAAAGACAGGAACGACCACCGAAGTTCTCCCCAAATTAAGGACCACGCCTCTAACTCTGCCTCAACTCTGCCTGTTATGAATATTAAAAGTAGATGTTGCAATATGATGAATATTCATAATATGTGATGTAATTGCTTGGCAAAAAGTGTATAAAAGGCTCAAATGTACGTTTCTCAAGTGGAGCAGTTTGTCCAGGGTGACCTGGGTGCTCCCCGACCGTGAAAATAAATACCTCCTGCTTATAGACTGAAAATTCTGTCTCTGAGCAGTTTCTCTGTGCCTTCTTTGGGGCACAAATTGGCATCAACCTTCCTTTTCTGATTGACATACATATAGAAACCCTTCTCATTATCCTTTTTGTGTCTTGCCAAGTTCAACTCCAGCTGTGCCTTGGCCTTCCTCATTCCATCCCTGTACAACCGTGCAGCAGCCCTATACTCTTCCAAAGACACCTGTCTCTGCCTCCACTGCCTGTGAGTTTCCTTCTTGTCCTTTAATTTGAGCAGCAGGTCTTGTCCTTGACAGTATCTTTCCTTTCATTCTTGATTTCTTACACTTAAGGACTGAGCACTCTTGTCCTCTATGGGAATCATTCTTAAAGGTCTGACAGCTCTATTCATCACTGATTAGCTCACTTGCAAAGGTGACCAACAGGTCCAGTAATATATTCCCTCTTGTAGGGCTGTTTTTCTTGACACTTTCTTTCACCAGAACGTTGTTCCGGGAGCTACCCTACCTGAGTAGGCCTCAGAAATAGCCAGTAATGCTATGTGCCTTTTTTTTAATATCTTCAGAATATTTTAGAGTCTCCTCACTTTTTCACTCACTAACACATCATTAAACATCAGAAAAATATTTATTTTCCATTAAGCTTTAGCAATTTGTTTGGATTTCTCAAATTTCTCTGCTGATGCAATTCTACTGAAAGGATTAAACTTAAGACCTTCAGGACACATGTCTTTCTTTTGGTCAAACAATTGGACTCCTTAGCATGTGGTTCTGCTGATCAATGGGATCTTCTATCATTCAGTGCACACAATATGTGCAGCTGGAAAGCTTGCAGAGAGCTTCTGCCAATAATTAATGCCAACTGTGTGAGACATAATTACAATAATTATAGTTTGATTAATTTGCATAGAACGATTATTTATTCTTGATTTGTAGAAGAGGCATTCTGAAATGTTGTGGTTAAAATGTTTTTCTGACAGTGATTTCCCAATAAAAGATATCTAGACATTGACTAAACATGGAACTAGAAATGTTTCTATCTAAAGTATATGTGACAACTCCTGTATAGTCTCATTCCTAGGTCCAGAGACTCCTTAATTACCTCTCACGTATAATTGAGAGAATTTTGTTGTTGGCTAGATCTTCCACCTTGAAGACGCAGATTCATTTTTCCTTTTATCCAGAGGGCTCTTTTCAGTTTCAGGCTGAATGCTTGAATCTTTCATTTGTTGAATTCAAGACAGTTTCACTGTTCTACAGAGAGCACTGGATACAGAGATCATCAAATCTCTACACATCAAGAAAGAGAACGCTCCTCAACGTAGGCATCAAGCTGCTTGACACTGTCAAAATTTGGCCACTCAGGGTTTGAGAAGATAGAATTCCTCAATTTTTATTACAGCCATATATAGACACCAACCCCTTTTCATATCTAGTTACAGTAAATTTTTTTTAAATTTCTTTTCTTTATATATTCTCTTAAAAAAAATCTCTAGGGAAGAGAACTTACATATCAGCACAGAATAAAAAAAAGATAATGTCTCAATCCTTATTATTGTAAAATTATCAATAATAACAATTGAATTAGCACAGTCACATGCAAAAAATAGGGGAACATTTCAAAAAAAAAAGAACATTTTTTTTAAGTCCTTCATGAGTCCTTTACCAACTTCCCATAAAGTGCCCAATATACCACTCTTGAAATTTTTTGGTCTTCAGTGAAGTTTTATTAAAATGTATTTGGTCCTTGTCAAGAACAGCTGTTGCTACATGGATAGTTTTGCAGTTCACAGTCTACTTAAACAATATCTTAATCCAAAATAAATCCCATTAAACAAATGTGACATGAACAAATGAAAGAGAATACATGTTTCAAGCAACAAGTACTTACAAACTACTGAGCAGATTTCTACTATAAAATTCATTAAAAGGCCAGAAATGTAAAGACCACTGGGAAGCACTGAGAATTTAGTACATGGATAGAGGGAGGCTGCTTTCCAAAGAAATACTTCAGGGATGATGTAGCAGCAGCTGGTTTCCTTTCATTTGTCTGAATCTGTTAATGCATATGCATATTTCAACCTTCACTATTCTTATTTGTTTCCATTCACTGCTGCACAGAAGTGCACAGCATTTCTTCCCCCTGCCTCACCCTGTCCTGTCTACTCTGTCCACTATAATCCTGCAAACTTTCCACTAAATTCCTCAGTGGAACTGCTTAAGTATATTCCATTGCCTTTTATAGGGATGAAATGCCATGATGAACTTTAGATATCTCCCTAGTTTTCTTTTTCAAAAGTGACCTGGAACTTTACTAGTTTTGTTGGAGAAAAACTGTTAAATAAGGACAAGGCATATCCACAGTGTCTTATTGACACAAAAACTATGTGAGAGGATATTCATTATACAACTTAGGTGCTAGGCATATTTGTTGCTAGACATCTTTTTGATTAGCATATTAAATATACTTGGAAAAACAATGATCAATGGGAATATGAAAGAACATTAACTGTAGAGTGTATTTTATTATTTTAAAGATATTCCTCCAGAAAGAGAAACAGATAGTAAGGTGAACATAATATAGAGAACAGATTGAACGGGGAAAGAGGAAGTTCTTTATTGATCTTTGAAAGTCTTCTGATATATGTCAGTGGGATATGGAACACTCCACACCAACAGCAAGATGGAGATTTCTGGAAAACACTGCATTTCTGCTCTATAAGACACTATGGATACATGAGGTGGAATTGAGTTCAGCTGTCTTTACTCTTCCTCAGGATTTTCCCCACTGTGAGTTATTCCACAGAAAAGGCCTTTGGACATTCCTTTGAACAGAGTACATTATTCTGAAATGTGTAAAGACACCCTCTCAAGAATTTCTGTATCTCATCTGAAGAGTTTGAAATGCCTATTTCAAGGCTGACCTCTAAAATTAATCAGTGTGGAGGGAACTGGGTGTGAAAATCAAGGGGCAAAATATAATTTTTCAAAGGAAAATGCAAATCTAAAATACAAATATCAAGTCTCCTGGACACCAGCAGCATAGTTTTAATTTGAGATTCCAAGTCCATCTGAGAGAGCAAATACTATTTATAGATAAATAATTTGGGATACATAGAAGTCAAATATGAAAAGTGTTGTGCCTTACTGACTGAACTTCAATTTTGTCTGGACATGGAACAATATGCTAGTAGTCCCAGAAGCAGGGGAAAAATAACTCTGACTAAGAAAACTTACTGATTTACTCTCTACAGTTATTATATGTGTTGATAGTATAGCATTTCGGAACAGATAATTAAAGTTTGCTATCCAGTTCTGCCATAGGAGACTATTGTCTAAAATCCTTTCAGCAATGACAGTGCCTATATTCCTGCTAATTTGTTAAAAGTGAATAAATTGATCTTATGAGATAAATCCTAGCAAGTTTTAGTTGCCTGTTCAGTAGCTATTGTTCCCAGTGAAATAAATGAAACTGTAGGCAGAAGCTAAATGTTCAGTAACTGTTAGAATTTTTCAATACATTTGGGGTTCTATATGTTCTATATATCTTATAGTGATACTAGTTTTAATTTGATTCTTAATGGATATCATAAATTTAACTGATTTTTCTTCTCTTCTAACTCCAAAGTAATATTCTTTAAAGTATTTTCAAAACACAAAATCTGTGTAAAGAAAAATAAAAAGAAGTTATCTCTTTATTTTTTAATGTTACCCTTCCTTGTCTTGACTAACAAAGTGAAAATCTACCAGACTTAGTCATTAAGAAGCAGGACACAGTGTCATATAATCAATATGAGCTGATTAAATCTTTACTGGTTCTAAAAGACTTTGGAAAAATAGAAGTTTTATTTCACTTGGCTTATCTTAGTCAGAATATATGCACTGCGCACTGTCTGGCTCAGACTTTGTACTGCATACAGAACTGTACAAAAGTGGGTGCGCATCCCCAGCTGATCATCCCCTTGATATAAGCAAAAAGCATATCTGCTACTCAAATTTGATTACAAAAGAAAATTTTGTTTAAATACTGTATCAAGCAATAAGCATTATGCAGGCATATTACTTAGAACTTTATTTTTTCAGAGTCGATCTATGCATCACTGGTAATCCGCAGTTCTTTGTGTCTTTAGAAATAGGCCATCAGCTTTTAAGTTTCACTCAAGCTTGTCAAAATAGAAGGAATAAAAAAAAAAATTCCCTTTTTTACTTGAATGTTTACAAGTTCTAAAAAGAACAGATTTTAATAAAAGATGGATGAAAAGGCACCTAAATTCATCTGCAAATAAGAACTAAAAATGTGACTAATCATAGACAAAATTTATCATTCGTCAGATTTTTCTGGGAAAGGTCCATAAGTCAGTTTTGTAAATACAATATCTCAAGGACAGAGGGCTCAGAGGCCTGTTAATAGAAAAACTTATTTTTATTTTCATTATTACTCAATGAAAAAATATATATAGACTATAATAAAACATATTATAAATACTGCATAGGAAAAAACCCTCAAATATAAACTAATGAAAATATTTCTCTCTTGAAAGAGTACCTAGCTTGTGTATATGATTTACATCTTTGTTTATATTTTAGTCTCATCTGAAACTCACTTTTTAGCCCCAAATTTAATAAAATTGACCCCAAAATTAAATATTCTATTAAAATCTATGAGGATGAATGCTGCAGCACATCTGCAGTAGTTTCAACAATTCAGCAAGTCTAGATCTGGACTAACTGGATTATTTCTAAAAAATTGCTTATACTTTTTCCTAAGACAAGAGACAAGTATATTCAGTATTTCAATTATGTGCATGAGGTTTGGAAGATTTATTCTCTTGGTTTTTCCATTTAATTTCTTAGTTCAATGTGATGCTTCTAAACATTGAGGCTTAAAGATATCTTATCCCTACACTTCTTTCAACAAAAAATATTTATTCCACCTTTGTTTTGTTCTCACAAACTGGACTATTTTCATCTGTAGTATGGAGGACAAAATGACAAAGTATTCATACATGAATTACAGAAACATTTCTTCTTTTGAGTTTTTACAAAAGCTCATTTTTTCTAAAAAATATTCTAATTTTTCTGAGGTGAACTGTTGTTGTACTAATTGCCAAATTCTTTTGTTGCTTTTTGATATATATCTTTTGTCTTATATTGCTTTATAGTAAAATTTTATGAGCTATATTGCATTTTACCTATCATTGCATTTCCTCGAAATAGTGTCTGCATAACTTGTGTCTTCATGGTCATTTCAAGTCAGTGACCTCTTTCAGATTTTCTCATCCTTTCCCAACTTTATTCCTTTTCCTTTTCTTTCATTTTCATTTTTTATTTTTTAAATTAATTATTATTTTTGTATCTTTTTTCTGCTTTTACCTTAGCAATTTTCTAGTGGGGAAAACTTATTACATCAACTCACATAGGTCAAATTAACTGAATATGAATAAAGCAGGAAAAAGTAAACTTTGCCACAAAGAAATGACACTTTTTATTGGAAAAATGAAGAAAGAATGTGAGAAAAGTCAGAGAACAGAACTGGAGAGCATGGAACAAGAGCTGTAGAGGGGGTTTTACAAGTCTTACAGGAAGCCTGTAACAGAAGTTTTATTTAGCTATATTAAGATCTATTTTTATCTTTTAACTCCCGAAACTCTCATTTCTATAACATGTCCAATAAAATGGGCACCAATTTTCACACACAATTCAATTGTAAATTTTTATCACATTGCTGAAAAATTAGGAGTTGATTATTAAACGAATCTTTTTTCTGTTCCTTTCTTTCTTCTTCTTTCTTTCTTCTTCTTTCTTTCTTCTTCTTTCTTTCTTTCTTTCTCTCTCTCTTTCTCTCTCTTTCCTCCCTTCTTCTCCTTCTGCCCATCATTCCTAAAAAACCCAACAAAAAAACCCAAAAGAAACCCCACACAAACTCAAACCAACCAAACAAAAAGATACTCCAACATTTTGGAAAATGAGAAGCAGTTCTCTGAATTAATATATATACACAAATGTGCTTGCAAGCTTGAATATGTATTGAAAAGTGGCTTTAAAGCAAAAGCATATATTGGATTATAATGGTGGACTCATTTAGTGAGGGACTCCATTCAGTCTCATCTACAAATGGGACTTTATTAGTTTTTGTACAGGATTTCATAATAAATAGTGCCTCTAATGATTTTCAGTGATGTCTAATCAACGTTTAGGATTTGGAGGAAAATCGTGTGATAAACGCAACTAGAACACAATGTATTTTCAGGAAGAAAATAAATATA